GAAAGCCCAGGGCTGCGGCAGCTCCGAGGCTATCGCTGAGCACAGACACAGGCTCCTGCAGCAGGCTGGGACTTGGGGCAAGCAAAACATTGTGTTAGACCCCCCACCCTGCTGCAGAGCTTCTTGCACAGGGCTTTTCTGGTCCATATCCTCTGTCAGCATGACTACAGCAATTTGCAAGAGGTAGGAATCAGTTTAGAAGCACTTCATAAAACCAAAAATGTTGGGGCTTGGGCTCTTTTCTTTCCCTCATTTGCCAGTTGAGGGGAGAGGAGTCTTGTCCCCAGATGGGGATATCTGGAGAAGGTGGGGGATATCTGGGGAAGGTGGGGGATATCTGGGGAAGGTGGGGGATATCTGGGGAAGGTGGGAAATATCTGGGGAAGGTTGGGAAGAAAAGGAAATGCAGTAATTTGGAGCCTCTTTCTGCTCAGCCAGACTTACCTGCCTGATCATCTCGGGGAAATCATACACGTAGGTGGTGCCCAAGGACTGTGCCTGGAACCGCTTGGCCTGAAGTAGGTCCTTGGTGACGTAGGGAGTGTTGATGAGCATCCCGTGCTGTGGCCCTTGCTTGTCCCCATACGACTGAAACATGATCTGGAGAGAAGGGCAGAGCGTTGGCTGCCTTCCCTCGGCACGTGGGTGAGTCCTCTCTACAGCACTAAGGTGCAAGAGCCCCGCAGGGCTGGAGTGCTGCTGAGCTCTGCCTGCCCAAAGTGTCCATGCCTGTGCTCTACTCAGCCAAACCCACGATTTTCCACCCCATTCTTTGCTACTGAGGGGACAGAGTGCAAAATGGCCGCGCTGCACGTACCCGTAACACCCCAACGCTGCCCTTCACCTCCAAGACCAAGAACTGTCTGACTGTGCACCAGCAACACGGCTGGTTCAGCACCATTTTGGATCAAAGCATCACCCCTGGGAATGCTGCTGCACAGTCCCGGGGGCTCTGGGACACACCAGCACTGGGGGTGCATGAGGATTTTTGCAGAAATCACCCCAAAGCTTTGCCATAGCTGACAGCTGCTCAAGCCATCGTGGCTGGGTTCCTGTTTGCAGTTACTCACGCTGCCGGTGCCGGGGTCCCTCACTTCCTTGTAGAGGCTGATGTCCAGGTAGTAGCCGGACTCGTTGGTGAGGAAGAGGCGGATGGGGATGGCGGTGGCAGTGGGAGTCAGGCGGATGTTGATCTTCACCTCGGCCTGCAGGACCCGCAGCTTCCAGAGGCGCCTGCCGTAGCGCATCACCATGGACCGCACCGACTCCTCGATCTGGGCACGGGACAGCACACGGATGGGTCTGTGGCCCCAGGGACACCACTGTCCCCAGTGCCAAGGCTGAAGCAGCGTCATTGCATCTCCACCCTAAACAGCCATTTCAGATTTGCTTTGGGCAAACCCCTTCCCTTTCTCCATCTCTCCATCCCTGGGGGCTGGTGCTGCCATCCAGCCACTCCACTGGAGAGAGGGATAGAGGGTTCCCTACGTCCTTCTGAAGGGACACAGCCCTGCTCCTTCAGACCACGCACTGCCCGGGGGAAAAGCCTGTCACCCACCCTTGTGCCCTCCAGCAAACCGTCTGCTTGGCCAAGTCTGTGCTAAAAGCCCTGATCATTGCAGAGTGTGAGATCTCAGCTCCCCCCCAGCAAACAGCCCACAGAGAAGGTCTGACACAGAAATTAAGCTGCAGGAGTCTCTGGGGCTGCTGAATCCAACCTCCATCCAGGGCTGGGTGGGCACTGGACAGGACCAGGTGTGACAGCCAGTGTTGGGGGCAGCTGCCTGTCCGTGCAGTGGTACCAAGCATGGGGCACGACACAGCCTCCATCCTCAGATCTGCACCACTCTGACAGCGGGGAAACACACCTTGGAGGGATCCATGACAACGGTGGGGACGAAGTTGAGGAAGATGTGGTTGCAGTCGGTGCGGACAGTGGTGTTGCTGAAGGCCACCTCCAGCTCATCCAGCGCCTCCAGGAGCAGTCGCTCACCCTCGTTCTGCAGGTACTCGAAGGAAGCCTCCTGTGATGCACCAGACAACTCAGGGGGTGACGAGAACAACCCCCTGCACCCAAAACACACCCACCTCTGCCCGCACACCCGGAGACCCGGTGCCCACTCGCCTTGGTGATGAGGTCCGAGTGGCGCACGATGGCGCGGATGAAGAAGCGGTAGTCGGTGGCCTCCTCACCCTCGTTCTGCAGGTACTCGAAGGAAGCCTCCTGTGATGCACCAGACAACTCAGGGGGTGACGAGAACAACCCCCTGCACCCAAAACACACCCACCTCTGCCCGCACACCCGGAGACCCGGTGCCCACTCGCCTTGGTGATGAGGTCCGAGTGGCGCACGATGGCGCGGATGAAGAAGCGGTAGTCGGTGGCCTCCGTGCCCGCCTGCACCCTGGCCGCCCCCAGGGACAGGTGCAGGCTGGCGCAGGGAATGGCCGTCAGGTCGAAGTTGCGCATGCGGCTCAGCTCCAGCTGGAAGGCCAGTGCTGGCTCCAGGTGCCGGTAGATGCGATCTTCTGCAAACTGGTGTGGTGTGGTGGAGGGGTGAGCGAGCGGCCGGACCCCCAGCACCAGCCAAGCCCTGCTTGAACCACAGCTCTTACCTCATCCCTCGCTCTGAAGGTGAAAAACTTTGGGAATTCTCTCTGGAGCAAAAGGGGAGAGAGAGCTCCATGTGAATTATCCCGGCACACACAGGGGTTTCCAGTCTTCAGTGAATTAATTAAAATGAAAAAAACCCCCTTGCAGACACTCGTCCCTCAAAGGGAAAAGAGCTGGGAGGAATCGATGCCTTTTAAAGACACTTAAAGCTACGGAGTGGCCATGCAGGAACCACACGTTCCTGGAGACATTAGCAGCATAAAGGACAATACAGGAGATAAATCACTCATTGAATGCCTCATTAATTAATTCCCAGCTCCTGATGCGCAGTAGGGACATCCATCACCCAATCCTATGTCTGTGAGGTCCTTAGAGATGTTTCTAGGGGCTTTAGGGAGGTGGAGTCTGAAGTCACTCTGCCTGTTGGCAGCTCAGTCTGCACTCACCTGCTGGGCAATGAGAAACGTGATTCTTCGGAGACCACAGTCAACAAGGATGTTTTTCTGCATGGAAACAGAAGATTCCACCAGTCACCAGAACTTAAACATCTCAACTGATGTTGGTCAAACAAAACCCAAGCGGTTGCCGCGGGGTGCAGCGTTTTGGGGAACACCAGGCAAGGATGAGGCAGTGCCTCAGGACACGGTGCCCTGGCTCGCAGGGTCTGCAAAAAGGGGGTACAGCCCCAGTGACAGACCTTGGACTGGGCAAAGGCTCTGAAGATGGGCACCAGCTTCTCATCCTCCACCCGTTCGGCCCAGCGGAGTGCAATGTTGAGGATGTGGATTGGCTCCTCATGGAGGTTCTGGTGACAAAACCCCGCAGTGAGACCTGACCAGCAGCACCACTGCCATCATGGCACTGCCCAGGGGAGACAGCAATGGCATTGTGCCCACCTTGGCATCCTCCTCCTCGTAGATGGTGGCTCGTGCCTCGCTGAAGAGCATGCTCTCCGAAGGCGGGTCAGTGAAGCATGAGATCACTTCATCAAAGTTCCTGCCCGAATGGAGGGGATGGGGTGACAAGTCAGCACGTTGTGCCCACCCCCTGCCCAAGGGGATGGGGACAGGGGAGACAGCAATGGCATTGTGCCCACCTTGGCATCCTCCTCCTCGTAGATGGTGGCTCGTGCCTCGCTGAAGAGCATGCTCTCCGAAGGCGGGTCAGTGAAGCATGAGATCACTTCATCAAAGTTCCTGCCCGAATGGAGGGGATGGGGTGACAAGTCAGCACGTTGTGCCCACCCCCTGCCCAAGGGGATGGTGACAGGGACCAGCAGGGACACGGGTACCAGTGCAGCGGCTTGGGGACATGCACCAGCTCAGCCGGGCTCCACCAGTCCATGGCAAAGCCACAGCTCATGAAACGCAGCTCTGAGCATCGCTGTGTTAATGTGCAGAGCTGCTTAACCTGTGCCAAGCAAGCTCCCCCCAGGCTCTCCCTGTCCCCAAATGACACGTCATGTCCCCATCAGGTAACTGTTGTACTGAAAACACCACACTCAGCCCTGATCTCTGGCTGCAGGAGGAACAGGAGCTGCCCCAAGCGCTGCCCAGACACCACCAGCTTTGGCTCTTCCACCCACTTTTGCTCTCTAACGACTGCAGCAGCACCCAAAAGGCATGTGCATGACCAGCCAGGCGTGTCCCTGCACCCCCACCTTGTGAAGTCCTCGAATCTGTCGAAGGCCACCATGGCTCCCAGCCGCTGGCTCAGGGGAGAAAAGCCACTGTCCATAAAGAGCTCGGTGCTGTGCCGGGCCAGGTCTGGGTTGGAAATGCTGATGGGGACAGACATCCTGCATGAGGGAGCAAAGCAGCTATCAGCCAGGGGTGGGGACACTGCTGCTGGGTCCAACAGGGACCACACAGGTCCCACTCAGGACCCTGACCCAGAGAGGGATCATCTTGCCCCACTAGCAAAGGGAGAGTGTGGTGGGCAGTTCCCTCAGGGGGGTCTCTGTGTTTTGCATAGAGGAGATGACACAAACCCACCAGTTTTGCAAAAAGGACCACGTCCAGGGGAGCAGGAGAGGCGTGGAGGGGTCCCCATACCTGTTTGGGTGGGAGGAGGGCAGCATGAACTGGAACTCCACCAGGCAGGTGCCATCTGAGAGCTGCCGGTGCTGCAGGCTGTTCAGCTCAT